AATTACTAAAAGAAAGGATAGAGGAAAAGCTTTCTTTATGGCCTCTACAGAATTTCTGCATTATAATGATTGATGGCTTTCTGCCTGATCATTTTGTGCTCACTTGCAAGACTGAGGGTAGACACAAGAATTTACCTCAGCATCTCTGCAAGATAGGTGGGGAGAAGTAGTACGCACAGTGCTTTGAAAGCACAAAATAGTGTTTTATTGCCAGGTAACAGTGTTAAGGCACCATTACATGTAATGCTAACAGAGGTGCACAGAGGCATTACAGTCCTTTGAATCTGACGCTAGCCCATAAGTCTTCCCATTCACTATCACTTTTCGTTTATATGATGAAACTGAATTTCATCACCAAAGTCAGTAAGTAGCTACTGGTGGGGGGCAGGGAGAAAAAAAGAAGCAACCTCAGAATGAATCAACGTTCAGGGAAGTTAAGGTATAGATTCACTGTTCACTCACAAGGCTTTTAATCATATGTTTAAGAAGCAGACATCTGTTAATTTCATTCAGTATTTTGTGAGATCTATAGAATTTAGAAGTATATAAACCCACTCTAACTTCCTTTCTTAGAAGTAACAAGTAACAGATATTTTAACCCTGTGGTCACAAACAAAAGCTAGAATTTACTTCCTTTTCATCTAACCAATACTTTAAAAAAAAAAAAATCTGTTGCAATTATCTAGACCAAATGGTATGTCACGGCAGCAACCAGCTATTGCAACACAGAATTCAGCAGGGCTGTGTAAGCCACTCTAGAAACTGCATTCTTCCATGCACAGTTACCCTGGCCTGAGGCAAAGCTCTGCTGCCACACGAGGCTAGGCACCTGAGCTAGTGAGTCTATAGGCAGAAGAATATGACGTGTAAAAGTCACTGCTATGACATATCCTCAGGTTTGGTTTGCTGACACACTGAAATGATGGCTAAAGAGAGAAAGAACATGGAAGGAGGCTTAGGCTGTCATTTTTTCATCTTTAGAAAACTGTATCAAAGCTATTTGCAGTGAAGGACACCTGCCAATGCAGTACATAGATATACATCATAAAGGTAGCAAATACATGTTAGGTAAGCAAATATCTTGGCTTCACCTTTAAAAAAAAAAAGGCAACAACCTGCCCCCTAGAAAGAACAACAGAGACAAATCAAAGCTCCTCATACCAAGAACAGCTCCAAGACCAAGAAAGCACAGTAAATGCCTCCTGCAATTAGCAACATTTTAATAAAGTAAAATAATATTCAGGTGTAGGTCCTTTACTTTGAAGGTGTATTTCAGCTAAAAACCTGAACTATCAGCTCTGAATTATCTGAGGCTGTTGGGCACAGTGGTCTATTGGAAGACCCGCTCAAAAAACCTCAAATATTTGCTTTGGAAGGCAAGACACCCTAGTACACAAAGGCTAAAACTCAGTTCTGAGTTTGTGTGCTGTAGAGCTAAACTCTTATTACTTAATTTCATCCTTAATGCAGGCAACCCAGGAGTTATGTGGAGACTATGTGTTGACTGCACTTTGCTATGCATCAGCTGGAGAACGTGGGAGAGCCTTGCTGATGGCAGACTCAAGAGTCTTCTCTAAAGTTAGAATTCTCCTACATAGACAGTTGTCCACCTCCTGTGGGGATCCAAGTGGAGCCAGCCACTGTCTTACCACCTGTGGATTCTTGTCTGTCTAGAGAAATATTTGTCTGGTTATTAAAAGGGCAATTTTCCAGTTCTAGCTTGATCAGTGCAAAACATATCTTTGGTTGCATTCTGGTTAAGTGCAATATCTAAGATATACACATATATTTCCCTTATATAATAGCAGCCTTATCTTGGGATTTATTAAACAGATAAGCTCACTGGAGAAGAAGTCCTATTAAACCAGGAAAAAAAGGGGGAAGGGGGCAGGAAGAAGGGGAAAAAAACCCAGTAACCTTCAATTGTCATGCCAGCAAATAATGCTGGCCAGCTTTCTACTGTACCTTTCTAAACGCAGTAATACATGTTCACTGATTGACCTTGCCACTACATCCATAACTGTTTTAATTTTGGCATTTTCTATCAGTTACTTTGGCTCTTTTATTATTATAAGCAAACATTGTACCAGGATCTCCACACTAGAGTCTGAGGAATGTAATAGACAACTTCACTAACAGCTCTTTTGGGAGGTGAATCTTTTTTCCTGCTTTCCTTATGAGCAGTATGCACTGTTTAGGATTGACTAACAGCGAGACATCCTGAAAATATAGACCCTAGAAGTGTCTGTTTCATATTATAAGTTTCACTGCCGATACTGTTATTAGGGAGAAAGCACTTCAGGGAAGTTACAGATCCAAACATTATTTGGGTTAGCAAAACATAGAGAAAAGATTATTTGGGAGCTTACAGGAACTCTATCTACAATGCAGTTTACTTTCCACAGAGAGTGCTTCATAAAAATAGTACTTGTAAGCTTGCTTCAGAAAAATACTACTTTAAGCAAGATTAACTCTGTGCAGCAATAATTTTTAAAGCATTAACTAGCAGTAGGAATGATCTCTGCCAGAAAAGAGCAAGCTTGTTCCTGCTCTCTTGAATTTGGGTATTGCCAGAGGGAAAGTGATGCACATTTTGTGCTTTTGTACAACATGAATCCATTTGTAGATTAGCTTAGTTAATAGTAGATAATTAAAAAATAATTAAGATACGCCCAGAGACATTGAACATTTGCTTTTAAATCAAAAGCTGAACTTAACAAGTACAATCCTGTTAATTACAGCTTCTCAGTAATCAAATTGATTGTCTAGGCAGTTACCCAATCCACACCTCTGTCCTTCACACCTCTCAGTCACCATCTGTTTTATTATTAATGTCTCTGTCAGCTAGTGAACTGTTTTACCTGAATGTGGCATGGAGTAAATATCTTAGAATCATAGAATCATTTAGGTTGGAAAAGACCTTTAAGATCATCGACTCCAACCGTTAACCCAGCACTGCCAAATCCACCACTAAACCATGTCCCTAAGCACCACATCTACATGTCTTTTAAATACCTCCACGGATGGAGACTCAACCACTTCCCTGGGCAGCCTGTTCCAATGCTTGACAACCCTTTCGGTGAAAAAAATTTTCCCAATATCCAATCCAAACCTCCCCTGGCACAACTTGAAGCCGTTTTCTCTTGTCCTATCACTTGTTACTTGGGAGAAGAGACCAACATCCACCTTGCTACAACCTCCTTTCAGGTAGTTGTAGAGAAAATAAGGTCTCCCCTGAGCCTCCTTTTCTCCAGGCCAAACAACCCCAGTTCCCTCAGCTGTTCCTCATAAGTCTTGTTCTCCAGACCCTTCACCAGCTTCGTTGCCCTTCTCTGGACACGCTCCAGCACCTCAATGTCTTTCTTGTAGTGAGGGGCCCAAAACTGAACAGTATTTGAGGTGCGGCCTCAGCAGTGCTGAGTACAAGGGGACCATCACTTTCCTAATCCTGCTGGTCACGCCATTTCTGATACAAGCCAAGATGCTATTGGCCTTCTTGGCCCCCTGGGCACAATGCCAGCTCATATCAGCCCAGGTCCTTTTCTGCCAGGCAGCCTTCTAGCCACTCTTCCCCCAAGCCTGTAGCGTTGCATGGGGTTGACACTTAGCCTTGTTGAACCTCATACAACTGGCCTAGGCCCATCAATCCAGCCTGTCCAGATCCCTCTCTAGACCCTTCCTACCGTCAAGCATATCAACACTCCTGCCCAACTTGGTGTCGTCTGCAAACTTACTGAGGGTGCACTCTTGTCCAGGGTTATGCAAGAAAACTGTCAAGTTAGGAGTTGAGTCTCTGCCACTTGAGTCCTGCTTGAGTGAATTAGCTAATAGATCCTCCCATCCATACACTTAACAGATAAAGTGTGAAATTCATTAGAATTTACCTAACAACCCATCTGCTTCTAGCCTTGTGATAGACAGGGGTACAGTCATCAAACACTTCTACTTAGCAGATTTTGTATTTGACAGTTTATTACCGCAACAGTAGCAAACATTCAGTAGCCAGCACACTGGGCACTATAGGGAAAAGCCAAAAGGACTTTTTGATGTACTAGCGCTAACCAAAACATAACAAGAGGGATTAAAGTACTGATCTAAACCCTGAAGTTACAAAATAAGGACTACCTCTTCCAGTTGCATACAGAAACAATGCAAAATGGACCTGAAGTGGTTAAAAACACCAGCAACAATTACTGCTTTGTGAAGAAATCTCACCTATCAAACAAGCATTCTCTCTCCAGTAACTTCCTCTTAACTTCAGGAAAGGGAAGCAAACGAAGCAGCGTAACACTGTTGCTTTCATGCTTTGAAGAGAATGCAGCTCCCTTGGGTGTGAATATGTCAGGAAATGAAATAAGCTCCTTGATTCCCCTACCTGTCTCCTAATTACATCCCAGTGTATCTCAGAGGCAGCTAAGAATATAAGTCAAATAACAATATTTTTACTTAATATTTCACATGATGGCAGCATGAACCCTCAGTTCAGTTTCTGTGGGAGGTCTTTTTTCTTTTGACATGTATTTAAACACCTGTTTTCAATATGAAGTAACATTTTTATCCAAAATCTATACAGTTGTTCCTACTACAGTCTAGTATGACTTACCTACATGAAAGCAGGAAAATGCATTTGACTGTCTTTAAGTGAATTAACTAAAAAGAATTAAACCTCCATGTGGATATTTTTCTTCATAATCCAAGTGAGCTTCATTTGATTAACTGTTTCACTCCTTTAAAGCAATCTACATACAATTAAGCCCCTTTGATTCTGAATAAGTAAACAGATGAGTTCAGCATAATCCATTTAACCCACTTACATTCAAGTTAATTTTCCTGGAATGTTCCCATGTAGAAAAATTTTAATATTCTTAAAATAACGTCATTCAATTGAGTGATATGCACACACCACTTCATGCATATTATCTACACCTCACACAAGAAAAGCAAAATTGCTGGAATCCTACTAAAAACAATGTCATGCCTTTAATCCTCTTCATGCTTACCTTTCTCACATTATAAAAGTCTCGATGGGGATTACTCTTTAGTTCTTTGAATTCCGACATTTCATTTAACATCTCATGTAAACTAAATTTAGATTCTAAAAAGTTAAGCCTCCGATGACAATATGTTTTTCTGTAAAAGAAAACACAAAAATTAACTGTAACTTAAAACTATTTGTATTTCAAGTTCAGAAAGAACCTGAAAGTTTTCACAGTAAAAACAAGTATTTTTTCTTATGAAGACCAAGACAGATCCATTCTTCTTATCCTACTGGTTAACAAAAACATAAGGCAATATCCAATATGATTTCAGACCAAAGTGATTAGTGAAACCTCCAACAGAACTCTATATAACCGTGTTATGTCCTTTAAGTTGTTGAAGTATTGTTATCACTGTATCCGTGCATAAACTGCAGTTCTTTTAGTAATGACCAAAGAAAGCATAAAACCTATAATAAAATGTGATGTCAATTGCTACTACTCTGAAACTATACCTCCAATAGAGCAGATCACCTCATATTTAATAGAAACAACCTGTAATCCAGACTTACTCGCTACAGAAATAATTAAAAAAACAATCCCCAAAGTTTATTTGCTTTTTCAATGTGAATATAAAAAGCCAAGGTAGGATCCAATATACTTTCTTTTTTCATGCCTTAAAAACACATATATTGTGAGGAAATACTTTTTTTCCACAATAATTTGTGTTCTTAGAAAAATCATGCTTTTTTTGTTCCTGCTTGCCTACTCCTGTCTTCACTTTCATCTTCTGTTATATTTCTCATTCTATTTTTAACCAATGACATGGTTTTTCTCTTCACCATCTGTCAATTCTTACTGTATCTACAATATTTTTGTAGCGCTATTAATGTAATAGCCTTCTTTTTTCTGCTTTATTGTTCACAATCTCTCCTCAATGGGACACAAATCCTATTATGGACTTGAGAGTCTGATTCAAACACTGCCTCACTGTATCTGATACTGATCAAGACCAGTTTGCCCGCTGCAGGAAGTCTTTGTTGGCCTATACTATTATTCAAGACACCGGAAGACTGAGGAGTAGGGCTGAGGTTTCACCAGTTTAAGAACAGTGAAGATTAAAGAACAATGGGTTCTTGATCTCCAAGCACCCCATGTGTGATAGACATAAATGACAGGAAAGAACTTGCTGCAAACAGGGAAACAATACTGTGTAAAGAGCTTATGCAACAGGATTACTGAAAAGACTTTTTCCTTTTGGTTTGTGTGTATTTATTAGGGAGTGTGAATCAGCCTGCAAAAGGTTAATCTGAAGAAGTGAAAGGAGCAGATGACTGTTCCTACATTCACAAAGGTGCTGAGTGTTCTAACACATCCTACCAAGGCCCTTGTTACTTACCGCTTCCTGCTAAAGACTGTTAACAAAAGCTGCAAAAAGGGTCCTCAGTATGACTTTTGTTTCAAGTTTTTCCTCCTTGTCCTTTAATCTTCTCAATATCTGTCTCTTGGAATATAACACACTGAAACTGGAAATGCATTTACCCATTGCATGCTGTAAACAAGCATACTCAAGCTAGCTTTGATTTGGAGCAGGAGTGCTAATAATGCTGGTGGAAGCATAGGCTTTTGCTCTTGAAAAAGTGCTTGGGGAATGGGACAGTTCTGTTCAGCTCATCTGCTTTGCCACTATCAATGCACAAGACAAACAGATTATGCTGCACGTGTCAGCCACAGACTCAAAGGGGAAAGAATGCATCAGGTGTGACTAACTTGTCACATTTTAAGTGATGATCTCTCAAAGGCAGAAGGACTAGGAATGCAGTGCTGGCAGGCAGGGCAAATCATTTGGAAGAACAGTCTGGGTTCCTGCTTTGTTCCATCCTAGGGTGGATTCTTTTGCTTTCCAGGTGTTGAGGCCATGAGAAACCTTGAAGTTTCCAGTCCTCAGCTGGGAAGTAAACTTAAAAACTGGATGCACATGTTTTTGTTATGCACTGGGTAAGGACATTGCTTGTCATGAGTGTGTCAGTGACTATACTAGAGTTGTTATATTTCTGGGTTTTAGAGATTTCCCAGGAGTTTGACGGTTCTGGGAAATTTCAGACCTATTTTGCTTGTGCATGCGTGGATCAGTTTTGCAGCACATGAGCAGTTAATTCACATCTGGAACAAATGAGACTGAATATTTATGTTGCTGAGCTGTTCTGTATGCTCTACATATGCAGGGTTTCTCTTCATGCAGCAAGAGTAGAACAGACATGAAGGAATTCCAAACAACTGTTCAAAAACCTCAAATTCAGCATAGGCCAAAACAAAATAAAAAAGGTGAGGTTCAAGTTTCAGTTCCCATGCCTCAAGAAGTTTGGGTCAGATTTGACTTAAATGGGAACACTTGGCCAATTTCTTGCTTTTCTGTTAACCGCTTCTCATTTTTCCATGGTTGATGCAAAGAAACTAAAGAAATTAAATATAGCCATTTGTGGTTTTTTTTTTCCTTTTAAGTCTTTCCGTGATGCATTAATGCTTGAGAAGGGCAAAACAAAACATTCCTGTAGAATGAGTATGTTGAGGAATTAAATATCACGTAAGTGAGAAGAATTAAACTAGAAGTAACTAGCAGCCTGAAGGGGCAGAGAAGAAAGAGAGAAACATACGTTGGACCATCTGCAATTAGAGCAAGTACGTGGCTCAGGTCAAGGGTATAGGTCTCCAGGTCAGGATATGGCAGACTCCGAGGCTCATTGAGTTCCATCATTTCTTTGTTATCATAAACAAAGGGAATGCCACCTTTTATCTTGACAACATAATCCAAATTGTCTGGAGCATCATCAAGATTGTAAGGATCTTCATTATCTTCTGGGGGTGAATGGAAATCTGGAAATAAATTTACATTACATGTAGAAGAAATAACTTACACAAAAGGCAAAATAATTATAAAAAGGACTTTCTGCTTCTATAATGTTTCATTTCTAACAGATCTTAATACTTTCATTAAAATCACATTCTCAGTTACTATAAAAGATGTTGTTACAACACAGCTTTATTCTGACAGACTTTAATTGCAGTCCCTCTCCAAGCTAAGTGCCTACCTTAATTCAAATATTATACATTATTAGAGTTCTCTGAACCAATGCATAAATAGATTTAATACTATTCTTTATTAATGTATGATGGCACAAGTTTCAAAATAAGTTTCCAGAAGTATTTAAATTAGGATCGTTGAAATTACAGTTGAGATTTTTGAACAACAAAATAATTGTTGACTTCATATCCACCTTCATTATTTTCTTTTCACCTTCTGACTCACTAGTAATTTTGGAAGTTTGTATTTAAGCACACAGTAATGCAGCTGTTCTCATATTGAAATATCAATCAGACAAGAACAGGCTGTGCCTTACTTCTTCACCTCTGCCCTTCCCACAATCCAATGAGCTAGACTAGTACGTACTAGGATTGTTTCCTCTTTCTCTCAGCCACTAGTGAATATACTTCATTCATGATAGAGCAGGAAATAATTTAAGATTCAGTGCTTCTCACTCTGACCAAGGCAGTGGTTGGTTTGTAGATTTTTTGGAGGTTTGTTTGGCTGATTGGTTTTGTTGTGTTTTGATTGGAGTTTTTTCATTTGTGTTTGTTTGTGAGTTTGTTCCCCCCCCCCAATAAAACTCCTTATTTTTGTGTTTAATTGCTTTTGAATACTGGAAGCACAGTTGCTATTTGTTCAGTACAGTTTTGTAATCCCTTTACAAACTTACAATATTTTTTTTTCTGAGAATCAGGTAAACGCACATACTTCTGGGACATTCAGCTTATGTGAACACTCAAACATTATCACTCATGCTAGTTAATGTTCATTGCTTCTTTTACAATATCTTACTAATGCAACTAGCACAAAATAAGTGTCTCAACTACATTTATGTCAACTGCACTACATTCTTGGTCTCAGTCTTATCACTGAGACTTCTTCTTTTACCTGTTCAGTTAAGCCAAGACAGAAAAATAATTAACCAGTACTTTCATTCACCTAGAGCACCTGAATGTATGTTATAAAGTGATACCATTCTTATCTCTAATACTCATAACTATCCAGCTCAAACTTGTGCTAACTAAGACATTGTGTAATGAGATTTTATTATTTATGTTGCAAGTTTAAAATCATAACTGTAAAAAAGTTATTAACCTAATAATAGCTTGGAAATATCTCCCTGGCAGCTGTTCCAAAATCTCTTTCCTGTCTTGAATATTCAGTATACTGTCCTCTTTACACTTTTTCTGTATAACAAACACTTGAAAACATGTTAATTCACCGTCTTTCAACCATTGAGCTAGAGGGTAATTGATTTAAAATGTCACTTTATGGCCGAGAATACATTGCCAACAATATGGCCACATCTACAGTGGCACATCTGTACAGACCAAAGGTTGCTCCTCGCAGGCTAATCCAAAAACTAGCAGTGCAAACAGTTTAATGCACAAGCAAAGCTTTCAAGACAAAACTCACCTAAGTGACAAATATCATTTGTGACATATATAGTGGAGAATATGTTGAACCTAATAAGCCTTGTTGAGAGATCTGAGTTTATTAATCCAGGCAGAATGCCCAACAAATATGACTACACAGTTTCCAGCCTTGACCTGGTAAGTGTACCATGCCTGTGAAATTACTGACTCAGGGCTTGCTAACTCATATGTCTGTATCATGCTTCAATTTACAATGTAGACGAGCTCATAATCCCTTTTATTTCAGCATGCCAAGATCAGGAGGAATGACTTTTCACTTTAAACCATATCCATACATCTTTTTCCTGGAGGAACACAAGTGTACTACTTACCATCCCATTTGCTGGGGGGAAAAAAAAAAAATCAATGGGTGTCTAGTATGTTTTTTTTAGCTTTTGACAGCTTCAAAGTTTCAGATTAGACACAGGATTTACAAAACTTAGGTCTGTCAGTGATTCTCCACCACTTACTAACAGAATAAATTACAGAGGCAAAGACACTCAGAAAAGATCATCACAAAAATCCAACTTAACCTTTACTACAGCAGTGCATGGATTTAATTCTATGTTTTAAAAAGAAGAACAAGGATATTCACCTGGATACACTTCATCTTCAACCTTCCATTTTTCATCTTGCATGCTACACAAATACTGAGATGTTGTTCTTGGGAAGCGATGGTAGGCAAGACGTGAATACTTTTCTCGAATGAGAAGAGCTTTCACCAGGCTCTTGGCAGCTTGTTCATAATCATCAACTGTAACCTGAAAGGAAAACCTGAATAAATACTGACAAAAATAAAACAGCAGTTTCAGCAACAAACTGAATCCACACTGGTAACAAGGAGACTGAATTTCTAGAAATGTAAGTGTATGTGGCTTGACTGTAAGGATCTTACCCAAGGTCTCAGGAAACCAGTGACAGAAACAGAGTCCAAATACAATGTGCAAAACACACACACACAAATTTTTTTCTCCTGTCATCTATTACCCATTTATTTAATGCCCGACTATATTTTTATCTATTCGATTTATTTTTTATGATAGGAAGTATAAAATGACCTGACCTTGAATTTTAACTGTTTTACAAATCAGTGTTTTCACAAAGCAATTTACAGTTTGTTGCAGAGAGCTATAATATACTGGCATTCCACACTTTATATACTAATTAGCTGCTTGTGGTTTGGGATTTTTCTCCCGCCTAGATACAGAAAGGGGGGGGGGGGGGGGGGGTATGGTTTCTTACCCCTGCACAGTAGTCCCCACTAATTGAAACTCTCTGAAACTCTGGTACATCATATGGCACTTGGACCGGCAGAAAAGCACTTGGAAGAACTGGCGTTGCAGGAGACAGAACAGGATTGGCCGATGGTGCTTTCCATTCTTGAGATGGAATTTGTAATGACAAAGACTGGGATCGAATCATCTTGAAGCTTTTCTTCCTAGGAATTCATGGTATAAAGCATAAAATAAGCCATGGTATAAAACATTAAATACACTGGAAAACTGATTACAGCAAAGAAATCATCGCCTAAGAAATTCTACAAATGAAATCTCTCATACCACAGGAAAAATGTTGGTCACAAAATATTTGTGCTTTTAGCTTTTTTTCTATTGACATTTCACATGCTATATGCTATACACAATTGCACTTACCCTTCACATTAATCCAATATGCCATAGTTTATTTACAATTACTGTAAGATGCCCTAAGGTTTGTTTTGTTTCACTTCTTACAAATTCAGTTTCAGCAAGTCACTGTACAGAAGGAAAATGTGATCACTGCGCTTACTTTAGTAGGAGTTGATCCTTAAGAGACTGGTAGCATCAGAATTCACGAAGTATCAGACAGAAACAAGTGAATGTTACATACAGTAAGTCATTATAAGTTATCATGCTATTACACACACTTTTCATTCTTCCCAAAACGTGCAGGATTTAAAAAATCATCTAGTTGTCAGACAAGACTATGCATCAAAATTTCATGTATAGTCATTCAGTTAAACTTGTAACAAAAAGGATGAGCACATAGTTATTCCTTAGGCAGTGTTTGATGAGACTTGAGCAAAAGGCTAATGTTGGTTGCCAGAGTAATAACATAGCATGGCTTTGATACGCAAGGCCATTCCTCCCCTCCGGGCACTACATGGCTAACTTTTGCCCTTTCTCAGCAAAACTGTGATAGATGTGTACCTTAGACAAACCAGCTAAAAAAGAATGCTGTATTTTTCAGTGAAGTAATCGTAATACCTCAAGTGAAGTTTTGGAATATCTCTAAAGATGTAATTAATTTTCCTTACTCAGTTTAAATGTATTTTAAATATTTATATAATAAATAAAGATAATGTTCTAAACTACCTGTGATATCACTTTCTTTTGCACTGTGGAAATACTCCCTCATTTTATAAACTAGATGCCGAAACCTTAAAATGTTAGTAAGAACCACTAAGAGAAAAAGGAATACTGGAATACTCTCTCTCTGGAAGTTGCATATTACTTGTGTGACATTCTGAAGAATGAGAACATGCAGTGCTGGTACAATTAATACCCTATGACCAAATTCCATCCTCTCTTAAGTACTTGTAGCCGCCTTTGGAATCAGTATGAAATTCTTGAAAGGCAATGTTGGCTCAACTGCAACTGAAAACAATAGAAGTTTTACTCGTGTAACTGTCCTTGAAGTACACTTCTGTCCTGTAGGACAGGGATGAATACTTGTTCTGTTCCCACATGTAAACAAACATACATATAATATCCCACTTCCCACAGTTAAACTTGTACAAAACGCGAGGTACAGTTTGACAGAACACATTTCTATAAGACAACTTCCCAAATTAAAAGTGAAACTTATTAGTTCAGGAGGAAAGATATACCAAATAGTTGTTTGAATGAAAACATCTAGTTTTCCCTTCTGTGCTTATTTATGTCTATGAACATGCCAACTGGAAAACCCACTTGCACAATTCAAAACCAAAAGTCTCAGCCTGCATCATCAGTGTGTCATACCTTAATTTAACTAAATTGACTCTTCTCCCTTCCGTACCAGAAATATGATGCCAAGCATTGCCCAACTGATTGTCTGCAGCTAACCGGGTACACGTGTTCAGCTATCACTTTCAAAGGCTTCCTTGTTTGCCTGCTTTTTGAAGAGTCTGTACACATCCAAGCCATTTGGTGTCAGACTGCTGCTGAGTTCACTTGACTCTAGGAAACAGTCTAGCCAGTCCACTGAAGTTAAGGTACTGGAACAGCCTGACATCAGGGTAAGACTACCTCTCTCACAGAAGAAAATCATAAACCAAATCAAGTTTGGCTTCATTAGATTCATGGGTAAACCAAAGGTGGACTGTACTTTTTTTTTTTTTGAGAAAACTCAAAATGTGTGCTTTTATGGCTGATAGTGGTTAGATTTTATCTCTGTGAGTTAAGGAAACCTACAAATAACCTCATTATGCCAATACCACTTTTCACCTTCTCCCTTGATGTTAAATGTCAAGTCTTTGCTTTCATCTATTTTTACAGAGACTAAAAGAAGTATCATACCGCTGTCATTTTCTCTGTGTTAAAATTTTCTGTATCATTCATTGTCTGAATGAAACTAGAATAAAGGGGGGGGGGCGAAGTGTTTCTTTTTCTGACTCTTTTTACATTAAGAGGGTAAATGTTCACACAACTTAGGGTTGTGTTCACTTCTACCCAGCTATGCTGTTTCTTAAACTTGCATAAGCAATAGCTATGCTATTGCGGGAAATGCAACTGAGACAACCTCACCAATCCAAGCTCCCCAGGGCCCATCCCCACACCTTCTGCATAGCACAGAAGGACTTCACACAGGTGTCCTTGGTACCTGCTGTTGACCTTTCTCCTGAAGTAATAAGAGGTAGAACGTTATTTGCCAGATATTTCAATATTAACTCAAACTCATTTAAAAAACTATTTTCCACTAAGAAAGCAACAACTGAACAAACCTTTTAACTGTTTCCACAGACTGCTGTTCTGCCAGTTCCTTCTGCAGTTCCCTTTCCTTGGCCTCTTTCTGCCCAATAGGGCAGTCTTCAGGCACAGTGAATAGTGACAAGGCATCTTTGCTGTCTTCTTCTCGGAGAACTTTAGCAAATACCTTCTCTGCTAGAAGTCGCACATGTTCATCAACCTCAGAGATGTTCAGCTTTGGAAACTGTCTGGGCATCTCAGCTAATAAGGAAGACAGTTGACAAAGTTATAACTACAAGAAGAATAAAGGTATGTGAGAGACTGGGGGTTTTTTGCGCTATGCCTGTCAAAATTAAGAGCTTAGAGCAAAAGCAGAATAAAGTAGAACTGCTATGCAGAATTTAAACTAGTATGCAGTACACAAGAACAACAGGTATTCACTGAGCATCTTTACTTGTGAAGCCATGCCAATTTGTGAATCAGGAACTTCTTGGTATACTCATGAAAATTCCTAAGGTATGTATGTACAGATTTGCCAATAGATTCCACTTACTTGCATAATCAGATAGACTATTATTTGCGATATAATGTATACTTAGCTGTATGTACTTGCACTGAACTGGGAAATCATATTCACTGAGTCGCCTGCCTTCTTCCCTGCTCAGTGACTTCAGACCAATTTTAGAGTCACAAGCAAGTTAGAAAAGAAGGTTGCACATTTCTACCTCACCCCATCCTCTCCACAAATAAGGAAGTCATGGAGCTGCTGTGAAGTAAAATGGTTGCACAACAGGAGCAAATATGGTGTAGTTAACTCAGTGACTTTTTTTTTTTTTCTTCATTTTTTAGTAGTTCATATCCTGCTTTTGAATTGTGTGTGGGAAGCAGACAGGATATGGACTTTAATTTCTACTTGGCATTTAAGTATTATTTTTCTAAAAAATATGTTTTATATTTTTAATTTATTTAAGTAGCCTTTCATCATGAAGTATTTCCATTTTGTTATAGCAGCACTACTGAAAATACCATCTTCAGTGTTTCTTCTGTAGTTTCATGGCTTTATTTATATTTCATTCTCATACAATCCAAAATATGAATTTTGACATATCTGTTAGCATTCTGGAGTGGAAAAAAATACAGTGCTTGTAAGCTACTGACCAGCATTATTTATTAGGTACCATAAAGCTTTTTGAATGCCTTCAGTATGATGAAGTCTGTAACAAATAAGATTAAATTCTTATTACGTAAGTTAAAAATAGCAATGAACGTGTCACAACAAATGGATCCAAGCACTGCCAGAATATGAAGCCTTGGTCCAAAATTGGCATTTCAGAATCCTTTTTGGTTACAAAAAGGCAAACATATTTTACAAGATGGTATTCATTTAAATAACAATGTATGCTGAAAGTCAGCATGGAGCATGGCAGGTTTTAATCACTCCAGACATAACTTATCAGGGCCCCCATTACAGTATTTCTGTAGGCATGCTGCAAGTTTCACATGTTGATATGTGATCCTGTTGATATGTGATCCTGTTGTTTTCAGCCTAAAAGATTCTAATTAACGTCCACCTGTTTTCACAGTTGCTTTGAGAACACTTTTGCTTTTATTCTAAAAGCAAATATAGTATGAAAAGGTGATGAGAGATATATTGGGCCATAACATGGCAATTTAGTGATCATCTACATTATTTTGCATTCTTATTTTGTAAGAACCAATTCACAGCCCAGTGGAAAAACGTCACTGGTTTTAAAGAACTGTGGATCTGACTCTATGCAGTTTTTCTGCCTGGAGAACATTTGTTTTTATTAGTAGTAAGTCTTCATAAAATCAAGTATAACTACATAAGAAATATAAAAATACATACACGTTTAGCTGAATGATTCGATGACAATGCACTACAATGTCTTAGAAGCATCCAAACTTAGATTCAGTTTCTCAATTTCAAACATCAATGATAAAGTCATGGGAATCTTTCCACTGACCTCAGTGAACACAGTTGTCAGCAACAGTAACTGCCATACATACACTTACCAGCAACAAGGGCCTTTTGGGCCACTTCAGCCAGGCAAAGAACAGTCTTTATAGTTACTCAACTACAGTATGAGTGCTAGCAATAATAGTAAAATGTGGAATAATAATGTTTCTTCTGCTGCTAAATCAGCAATTAGAATATTTTCAGTACTAGCTGACTAGGACATGAAAAATCAATTGGTTGTATGTTTATCATTGGCTGAGCATTCTCCTAGTGTAAATGAACTTTTTCTTAGAGAATTGTGATCAGAAACAGAAATGCAGTAGGAAATACATTGCATGAGAAACCATACTGTATTTTAAATCATTACAATAAGATAGTGAAGAGTCAGAATGTATAGATACAAGTATGATCCTCTACTGAGACTAAAGGGTTTTTTTTCTTTCTTGCAGAACCTGATCTCGTGTTCTCCACTCAAGCAAATGAGACTAAGGCACAAAACACTTTGAAAGGTAGGTTCACCGACATCACTGCTAGCTTACGTCACTGAAATTAGTTTAATAAACCTAAAATAGTTGTGAGGCACTTCATGTAATACTCATGCAAGCTGTGCCATCCCAAACTAGGAAAGGGATGAAGATCTTGTATCCAGCATCCTTCTACAGAAATGCTGTCCTTTACCCAAGGTGAGCGACTGGGAGAGCGATAACTAGACATCTTAATGGGATGGGGAGGGGGTATGAATGCCATCCAGCAACCAGTAAATGCTCTTTTCCTAAATATCTCTCTCACAGATAGGCTGCTTTGGTTGCTCTTTAGTTCTGCATCTTTGTGGAAGAAAAGAAAGCTACTTCTCTTGAAACATGCTCCATAAAAAATGATGGAATGATTATTTAAAGAGCAATTATTGATCCGGAATTTAATGGGCTTGAATATGTAATGAGCACACGCCATGAAAATAACAACAACGGCCGCCGCCGCCTCCAAACCCCCACGGATGGTCAGCTGGCAGCGCGGGGATCCGCATCCTGCCGCCGCGAGCAGGTGGGGCAGGGCCAGG